TTCTGTATTGTTCTTTACTTGAATACGCCATAGATTTCAATATCAATAATCAATTTTGCAGTGTTTCATCCCGCGCGTGATATAAGTGATATAGTCGTAGTCGCTTTACGACTGCTCAGAAGCTGCAAGTTTGCTGTTCATGGCTCCCAGAATATTACCATGGCTCCCGAAACCCTAATTAAGCCCTATAAACCCTAAACGCCTAATGCCTATAGTGGCTTCGGTCCAGTTCAGCTCGTTTTAAGCAACACAGCTTGCATGCCCACAGCCTTGGGGTTCCGATTGTGCGAAGGAGGCGCTCTCCCTTTGGCATGCTGTCTTCCTTGGCTTCACAGGAGCACTCCTGGGATGCGGTCCGAAAACATCCACAAAGAAACGCGGGCCTGAAGTGCTGTTCGGCACTGCCGCAAACTTACGGAATACTGCGCCCTGTGATACTAATTACCCTGCATTATCGTATAAAGTACCCAAAAGGAGGACCTATATTAGGCGCTCCGCAAGCCTCAAACGGGCACCTTGGGGCATCTGCAGGCACGCATGCATGCTTCGACATCTCCCATTGCCAGGTATTGCAGTACTGTCAATTTCGGATTGTGCTGCATCACCCATTTGATTGTCTTGAAAGACTTTAGTTTTTATAAAATAATCATTGTATTTTATACATTGAGATTATTTTTATAATGATAAAATGTTGCCAATTTAAAAGCAGCACGTTCCTACTCCCCACTCGCTAAACCTGAGTCGATGGCCTGGAGGAGCAAGCTTGACCCGACTTCCTCGCACTTTGCGCAGGCTGCCTACACAGTGGTCGACAGGGTTGATGTCCAGGATCTTCTCAGATCCTAAGACAGCATATGCATCAGTCACCAGTGTGCATGTATCCAGGTACAAAGATTTTCAAAACCTGCTACCCCCCAGGCCCAAACCTGATGGTCCAAGCGATCATCAGAACCCTAAATCCTATCGCCCTACTTTACGGTTTAGGGTTTAGGGTTGAGGAAATGGGCCGGTTGTGCACATGTTTTTTTTTGTTGTTGCTTTGCCTTTTACGTTTGCGGCTTCAGCTTGAGCCAGGACCCGAGTCTTCCCAAGAGGCCGATGAAAGAGGAGACTGCTTGTTTCATGGGACCCCGGCACCCAGCCGCAGGGTTGACCCTAAACCCTAAACCCCCCCAAAAACCATGTGCTTTTATTGATCCTGCCCCCAGGTAATCTCACCGCGCGCACCGTTGCGGTCGGCAACCCCGGCCAGAATGGCCTGAAGAGGCCACGAGAGGCCGGAATTCGCGCAAAACCACAGCGGGAGCATCGAAATGCAACGGAATTCGCGCGAAACCACAGCGGGAGCATCGAAATGCAACGGAAGCCACGCGAAACCACAGCGGGAGCATCGAAACCAAGGCCCCGTCCCACCGCGCGCGCCGTTGCGGTCGGCAACCTAAGTGGCCCCCCAGAAGAGGCCTGAAGAGGCCACGAGAGGCCGAATTCGCTCAAAACCACAGCGGGAGCATCGAAATGCAACGGAATTCGCGCGAAACCACAGCGGGAGCATCGAAACGCAACGGAGTTCGCGCGAAACCACAGCGGGAGCATCGAAATGCAACGGAATTCGCGCGAAACCACAGCGGGAGCATCCAAACGCAACGGAAGTCGCGCGAAACCACAGCGGGAGCGTCGAAACCAAGGCCCCGTCCCACCGCGCGCCCCGTTGCGGTCGGCAATTTAAGCGGCCCCCAGAAGAGGCCTGAAGAGGCCACGAGAGGCCGGAATTCGCGCGAAACCACAGCAGGAGCATCGAAACCAAGGCCCCATCCCACCGCGCGCGCCGTTGCCGTTGGGAAAGAAATTGGGACGAAGAGCTCCTCGACCTCTCTGCGCAGGAGCTTCGGAAGGCCTACAAGGCTGCTGCGCTGGCCAGCTGGAACAGCGAAGGATTTCCGGAAGATCCAGGAAGCCAAGGAGAGATTGACTGAGGAGGGCCATGGCAATCCGAATCGATCATCACTGGTTCTGGGCGACTGCGTAGCGCCCGCAAGAAAGGCAAGGAAGAAGAGAAGGCTGGGTGGCACAGAGTGGAGCAGCTGCACCGGCTGCCCCAACACCAACTGGAAGTGAAGCAATGGCAGACGAGGCAGCCACGAAAGGTACACCTGGTGCCCCAGCAGCCGAGATGCAGCTGCAGCGCAAGATGGCACTTCAAGGAGCACTTCCGCCACAAGGTGAGCTGCGGCAGAAGTCCCTGATGATGGCTTGACTCAAGCTGCCCAGATGGAAGTTGGGTGTTGTTGTACGTTATTGTTATTGGGATCAAGAAGAGGAAAACTCAGAGCTGCATCGGTGTTTTTCACATCAGAGGTCGTATGTTAACACGCCTTCGGAAGTTGTTGACTGCTCTCAATGTCCTGCAAGAGCATGCGAAAGCGCCAACAGTCCCAGGGATGGAGCGCTGGGGTCACGATAAGTGTTATTGTCGTCACTTTTGGGATCGGGTGGGTGGGTGGGTGGGTGGATGGGTGATTGGGTGGGTGATTGGGTGGGTGATTGGGTGGGGGTGGGCGGGTGGCTGGGTGCTACTACCCAACGACTACTACGACTACTACTACGACTATTTCTACGACGACTACCAGTTCCACTACCACTACGGCTACCACTACCACTACTGCTACCGCTACTACTACCACTACTACCACTACTACCACTACTATTACGACTACTACTACTACTACTGCTACTACTACTACTACTACTACTACTACTACTACTACTACTACTACTACTACTACTACTACTACTACTACTACTACTACTACTACTACTACTACTACTACTACTACTACTACTACTACTACTACTACTACTACTACTACTACTACTACTACTACTACTACTACTACTACTACTACTACTAGTATTGAGTACAGAACCAGAAAAAAACATCCCCCCCCCCCCCAACAAAAAACACTTAAACTAATTCCGGACCCTTTCCTTCACTTTAAATAGTTTTTGCATTTCTATTAAGTTGAAATACATTTATTTGTTTTAATTGACTTTAAATAAATTTTCAATTAATTTCAATTCAACTCATACTAATAAGTTTGACTAATTGTAAAAATTTTCCTAATTTTTCATTTTTTAAATTAATTTTAACGCTACGCGACCCGCCTCGGCCTGGCCCAGCGCATCCGCGTGAGCATGGTGATTCCGCAGCGCCCAAGTCGCTGGACCCCAAGCAATAAGGGTTGGGTTGAGGGTTGAGGGTTGAGGGTTCCGGGTTTATGGTTTATGGTTTGGGGTTTGGGGGTTGAGGGTTAGTTTAGGGCTCAAGGTTCACGCTTTGGGGTTGAGGATTTTTTTGGGTTTAGGGTTCGGCTTGGAGTGATTGTCGGGTTGAGCCAGGTCATTTGAGGTTTAAGGCGACTCTTCGGCAGGGGGGGAGGGGGGAGGTGGGGTGGGGGGAGGTGGGGTGGGGGGAGGTGTGGGGGGAGGGTAGGACAACGAACGGCGGGGGGCCCTGCTGGGAGGGGCTTCAACTGCCTCTGGTGCTTGGCGAACCGTCCGCTTGCGGACCCCGCTTTCCCAGGAAGGGTACCCCCAACCCTCGCGTCACAGCAGGAAAACTCCGCCTTGAGGGGGGGGGGGGGGGGGGGGGGGGGGGGGGGGGGGGGGGGGGGGGGGGGGGGAGGGGTGGGTAGGGGGGGGGGGGGGGGGGGTACGCGAAAAACAGGGGGCGCCCTGCTGGGATGGGCTGCAACTGCCTCTGGTCCTGGCGAGACATCCGCTTGCGGACCCTCCTCTCCTAGGGGGGGTGCCCATTTGAAGCAAAAAAAGGGGGCCGAAAAGTGGCTTTGGGTCTGGGGGGAGGATTTGGAGGGGGGTGCCTGTTCTGACAACCTATACACCTTCGGCCCGAGGCCTCGGCGGATTTTGTTGGCCGAAAAGTGGCTTTGGGTCTGGGGGGAGGATTTGGAGGGGGGTGCCTGTTCTGACAACCTATACACCTTCGGCCCGAGGCCTCGGCGGATTTTGTTCAATTTTAGCTATAATGGCTATAATGTTAAATTTGGGGGCGCTCTACCATGCTTTTGGCGTCTCTGCTGTGCCGAGTTTTCATGCGATATGGATGGCACCGATACGCTTCTGATACGCTTTGGGGCTAGTACCGATACGCTCCTTTTGCTTGTACCGATACGCTTCTAATGCGCTCCTTTTGCTTGTCGCTGAGAGGCTTCTGAAGTGCAGAGCAGCGTATCAGTAGCCACCGTTGGGCGTATCAGTCGCCACCGTTCGGCGTATCAGTAGCCACCGTTGGACGTGTCAGCAGCGTATCAGTCACCATCGTTCGGCGTATCAGTAGCCAACGTTGGGCGTATCAGGAGCGTGTCAGTCGCCGCCGTTAACGGCGTATCAGCAGCCAGCGTTGGGCGTAGCAGTAGCGTATCACTCGCCACCGTTCGGGGTATCAGTAGTGGGCGTATGAGCAGCGTATCAGTCGCCACCGTTCGGCGTATCAGTAGCCACCGTTGGGCGTATCAGTAGCATATCAGTAGCCAGTAGCCACCGTTCGGCGTATCAGTAGCCACCGTTGGGCGTATCAGTCGCCACCGTTTCAGCATATCAGTAGCCGCCCGGCAAGCCACGTAATCACCACAGCAAAGCGTGGTCGAGCGCCCAATACCTAATTTAAGTTATCAATTCGTGTTAATCAGTTTTCAGAGGCTAGGAAGAGCAAGCTAGTTTTCCAAAATACTTTCTCATTAATTATTCATGAGTTCCAAATAATGTACATTAATTCGTTTCATTTTATTTTTTTCACTTTCTTAGTTTTAATCTTAAGGAAAGACATTTTTCTTCAATAAAAATAAGTTTTAAAGTTTTTTGAATAACTTTTATTAGTCTTAAGTTATTTTAAAAAGAATTTGATGATTGATTCAATAAGCTTAATGTTTTCTTTTATTTAGAACTGATGGCTTACGTATTTCGCCAAAAAATGACATCGGGAGGTGCTGTTGCTGCTTCCGAGACCAGCCTCAAGCCACGCCTGCAACAGATTGACGATGAGGCCCGTTTTGCCAGCCCACTTGATGCCGCTTGAAGAATGATTCGTTCTTGGCCTCCCACAGCAGGTTTTGCGGTTTTTGTGTGGATTTCCCCACGCGTGCGATATCAGCCTGCAGACTGGGGCTCGAGATGTGCCTGCAGTGCCAGAATGCCCGATGCACTTTTCGTATGTGCGGCAGGCTTACCGAAGAGGCAAGAAACTTTGGTGGGGTGAAAACCAGCGCAGCAAGCGGATGACCACACTTGTACTCAACTTCTTTGTCAGTGGGGCTGCGTGCACCCTATCCGCATACGCAAAAAATGTGCAACTCTTCACAAGTAGGTAATGTTTCTGTCAACGAGACACGAACGCCCGCGCCAAGTGATGGCATCCACATCATGTACGAAACCGAAGCCTGCCGACATCCTTCACAACGGCTGGATGCCCTGCGACACCGAACACAAGCTGCTGAATGGGTGGGTTGGGCAATCAGCACTTCGGACGACTTCGTGCTCAGAAGAGTCTTTCAGTTTCTGAGTTTTTTCCAGGTTTCAGCTTGAAAATGTGAACAGATGTTCGACAGAAATCGGGGAGAGATGATGAAACTGTAGGGTACTGGATAGCTTGGATTAACGAAGACCCAATCGGTACAAGTATGCCCAGACCATGCTGAAACACGGTCTTGCCCGTTGTGGGGACGATATGGCCATCTCAGAGCTTTCAGGTTCAGGTTGGATGAGCCATTTATATGTAAAAACAGCCTTTGTAGTTGCCGGCCTCACTATGCCGCAATGTGCATTCACTTTCGATCATCACAGATGTTTGGCAACCACCAGCCAAGTTGGAGTTGGATTGCGGAGGAACGAGCAAGACATGATCCTAGGTGGGGTGAGCTACAGGGTCGAGCGGTGTCTTCCAGGACAACGGCCAGCTGCGGCCAAACAGATTGCGGGAGTCTTAGGAAAACAGGGCTGATTCCTGACAAAGCTTGCCCAACAGCTTTTGGAAAACAAGATGCTGGTCCTACAAACCTCACCGCTGGTTTCTGTCAAAGTGCCAACCTCGATCCACCAACCTTGATCACACCTCTTGAAGTTACGAACCTGCTTTACCTAAAATTTCCAACCGAATTCACCAACCGAAATTTACCAACCTGGATTCATTTGAGCCAGCACAAGTGCTTTTCCCGCCCTTAAATACTTAAGTTTTGGCTCAAGGCAGATCTACCCTTTCTCTCTCCCCACAAAAATTTGTGCAGTTCTTGGGGGTGAGCAAGTTTTTGCAGTGCTGCTTTCTGTGTGTCGTGTCTGTCGCACGTTTTGTTGGGAATTCGTTGTAGTTTAAGTTGTGTAGTTGGTGGTAGTTTTTTGTTTTCTTGCTGCTCCTTGATGCTGCTCACGTTGCTCATGGCTCTTCATGCCTGTTGCTGCTGTTGCTCATCTGAGTGTGTGAACCTGTTTCGTCGGCTCTTTGGTTTCTCCCGCTCACCTAGGACTATAAAAAGTTTGAGTCCAGGTGCAGGGGGCGGGTGGTCTCATTGCTTACTTGCCAGCAACGTTGCGCCTGGGCGTGGGCTGGCAGAGCTTGTGTTGGCGTTTGCATGCGTCTTAAAGCCGGACCCATTTTCTCTGCTCATCTGAGCAATCAACATGCGAAGCATCGCAGAGAGATGTGCGGTGTATGGTTGTGTGATGAGAGCAACCCCTTCCTCACAGCATTTGCTCCCAAAAAGTTTTGAAGCATACGCATATACTGTTCCATTCGTCCATCTCCTACATCGGCTTTCTCTGCCTCCTGAATAGCTTCTATGCCACGAACGCACGATAAGAGACAGAGAGAGAGAGCGAGTCGGCCCGAAATCTCACCCACGGGACGAACTGGGCGCGCCTGTGCGCGCGGGGGGCCACCCCCACCCCCTTAAAAATGTAAAATGGGGGAGGGGGCGCATAATTGTAAACGCTTTTATTTTACAATTTTGCATTACTGGCGCCCGAGGAGTGCCGCAAATCACGGGGGCCCGCGTGCGTGTGCGCGTGCGGGTGCGGGTGAGCGTGCGTGTGCGCGTGCGCGTGCAGGTGTGCGAGCGTGACTCTTGCTTAGCACGTCATACCGTCGCATGCCCTAAGACCGGGTTGCATGGGGACTCGGGTACCGCAGAAGGTTTCGTCGTTCGTCAATGCAGGCTCGGGCAACGATGACTTCGTTGGAGCTGTCCTTGGAAAGGCGCCTGCTGCAGCATTCCTCGGAGCCCCTTCTTCAAGCTACGACGGCCTTTGTGGTTTTGTTTGGTTTCGCGTGCGCATCGATGAACTAGGCGAAGTCAGGACATCACTGCCCGGCTCAGGAAGCTGCTGAAAGCTTGCGGTCGCTGGATGCAAGGGCCCAGCAAAACATTGCTGAAGTTGCTGACTCGATCGCAAATGTTGCCAAGCTGATCTGTGACCTGTGTGTTCTCTCTCTCTCTCTCTGCTTTGTGGTTTTATTGCCGCAACTCGGGGCTTGCTATTGCAACTGTGGCTTAAAGCCCAGGCAGACGCCCCAACAAGTCCAAATGCGCAGACTGAGGTGGAACATGTACTGCGAAGTCAACGCTCCGAGGCCTCGGCATCGTTGGAGGCGTGCAGAACTGCTGCCCCAAAACTGCCCCCAAAGCGGCCCAATCACCACGGCAAAGCCGAATGAGACAGGTTGCTTACAGGTTGCTTCTTGAAGCTGCGTGACCCCCAAGGTTTTCAGGCGCTTGGCACCTTTTTCGCCTTTCTCTTCCCGGGCCGGGCCCATCAAGCTACGAAGACCTACGAATATCTACGAAGTCCGTAGAACTTGCCTACGCTTGCAGTTGCGCACGTGTGGGGAGAGATTTTTCTGGTTCAACAGTGTGGGACAAGAGACGAAAGAGGAAGGAACTTTGGGTGTTTTGACCAAGATAGGGGCCAGTTATGTCCTTGAGTCCGGGAGTTCTATCTTTGAAGATGAGCTCCTGTCACGAGGAACTCCAAAACGCAAGTTGCGTGCAATCCGCTTCGATTATAGTGATGATCGACATCTCGCGTCGATCCCCTTCAACGTCTTCCAACCAGCAAACGTGGGCAAATGGAGCCGAAAAAACATCACGTCACATCAGGTCACCAGCTCTCGTGTTTTCTTGTGCAGTTTGAAAAAGTCTCCACCCTGTCGAGCTATGGGCTTTAGTTCAAGACAGTTGCAGGCCTTGGACTCGCGCCTAGCTGCACAGAGCCGGCGCTGTGCCAGCAGCGAGGAGGGGTGGGTGGGGTGGTACGGGGGTGCAGTAGCAGCTCAGTAGCAGCTTCGACGACAATGTCCCGCCTCTGGCAAACCACTTGATGAGCCTGTGCAGGCACGCGAAGCTTCTTTGGAACGTCGACTGCAAAAGGAACGTGCTCAGTTCGCAGACGACATGCACACGTGTCCCGACCACCTAGATAGGTATGGCAAAAGTCAACAGCCTGATCTGTGTGGTCTCGAAGGGTCTGGTTCATGTTATGCTTCTGTGTGCATAGCAAGCTGGTGAAGCTGTACTGATACTGCCATATACTGCCTATTCGTGAAGTCCTTGTAGCCTGGCCCAGCTCTCAGGAACGTGTCGCAGTTTCGGCGTGAACTGGCAGAGCGAGCTGGAACGTTGGAAAGCATCCTAGTGAAGGTTCAGTGGGCTTGTCGGGAGTCCGCTTCACGATAAGTTTCGCCTTCTGAAACCAAGACTGATTCGTTTCTGTAGGTATAGTTCCTGGTCGGGTGCTTTTTCTGTGTGGCTTCGTGCATGCTGAGTGGAGACGAAACGGACGGACGAAACGAGCCAGCAGTTCCATCGGAGCCACGCAGAACCAAAGGCTTGCATCTGTGCCAACACGGAGGGTGTGAAATCATCAAGCAGTTAAACTTCTATCAGCAACAATAGGCAACAATCCAAGACCAAGCTCGCATTTCTATCAAGCAAGGTTAATGGTGCAATGGTGAGTGCACATAGTACAAGAAGTAGAAGAAGTAGCAGTAGCAGTAGCAGTAGCAGTAGCAGTAGCAGTAGCAGTAGCAGTAGCAGTAGCAGTAGCAGTAGCAGTAGCAGTAGCAGTAGCAGTAGCAGTAGCAGTAGCAGTAGCAGTAGCAGTAGCAGTAGCAGTAGCAGTAGCAGTAGTCGTCGTCCTCGTCCTCGTCCTCGTCCTCGTCCTCGTCCTCGTCCTCGTCCTCGTCCTCGTCGTCGTCCTCGTCCTCGTCCTCGTCCTCGTCCTCGTCGTCGTCCTCGTCGTCGTTGTCCTCGTCGTCGTGGTGGTCGTGGGTGGCGGTGGTGGCGGTGGTGGCGGTGGTGGTGGTGGTGGTCGTGGTATTCGTGGTCTGGTCGAAGATTGGAGGCAAAATTTGGTTTAGCACTATCTCGCTTGGTGAGCCGGATTATGCCGGTGAGTCTGAGGCACACTCCTGCGAGGATATTTCCGCAGATCACTTTTGTTGCCAATGTCAGGTTCAACAACACTTTCGGGCTTGGAGCTTCATGCTCCATGGTAACGTACTATACTATTGCTGTTTGCTGCTTCTGCTTGTAAATATTGACAGTGTTTCAGGGTTCTTGCTGGCTTAGAGTTTAGGGCTTATGTTATTTGGGGGTTTTTAAGTTTTAGGGTTTTTAGGGTTAAGGGTCCTCTAGCCTCGTGGGTTTCGGAAATCCTCGCAATGCGCACGTTTGTTCTTCAAAAAAGATACTTAGACCGTCGGGGGTTGACGGAAACCATGGCCCTGCGCACGTTGCCACATCGGGCGCGGGCAAATCAGCCCACTGGACCGTCGCAGTAGTAGGCTGCACCCGCGACATCTGCTTGTGTAGGTGTGACATTGTGGCTTTTCGCTTGGTTTTTCGGGGAGGAAGTGTCGTAGCACCCATTCGTGTGGCGACCATGCCCCTAAACACTGCTATTTATCGACACACAGCACAACTCACGCGCGCCCATGCCTTTGCAACAACACACTCGTATTTGCTTGGAGCGTTCTACCTCTTTGTACAGCATACGGCACAAGACGCATTGTCACAAGCATGCGCGCCTTGTGCGAACATGCGGTCTTTGCAGCTTTTTTCCTTGACTACATCATGCGGCCCAAGCATGCCTGACGGATCTGGAGCAAGTCGCGCCTTTTGTCGACGAACGTGCCCAAGACACTGGTGATGAAGCGTTTTTCTCGTTGTACATTCTACGGAGCAAACACGTTGGACGTGTCAGCGTTCGCTCCACATTCAAACTGCACCGATGCTTGTAGCCTGAAGAAGCGGCCTTGAGCCCGTAGCAGACATGATTGAAAAGCAAGCCTGCTGTCCGATCAAATGCCAAAAACATCGAAAGATAAGTGCAAGAAATGATCATTTGGCAATGGGCACGCGTAGTGGTGGCTGCTGCTGCTGCTGCTGCTGCTGCTGCTGCTGCTGCTGCTGCTGCTGCTGCTGCTGCTGCTGCTGCTGCTGCTGCTGCTGCTGCTGCTGCTGTTGCTGCTGCTGGTGGCTGTGTGCATCACTCCTGAGAGTTTCATTCGGTCTCTTGTGAAATTCCTCACAGGTTCGGAATTTCCAGAAGGTTCGTAAACATCTCGGTGAAACTACATATTGCGCGTGTGAGGCGGGTGAGCTACAAAAAAAAACCTGTCTTTAGGATGACTCGGGCCCCGACTCGGGCATCGCAGCAACACAAGCCAGTGTCCGGGTGTGTCCGGATGCTTTGGAACCCGAGGCAGACTGATCTCAGAGGTTGCCGGGCTTCGGAACGAGCTTCAGGACTCGCTGGCAGCAGGCGGACGAATCCTGGTGCCCACGACAGCTTCACGAAAAACGCAATGAAGGTACAGACGAGTGGGCCACTCGCCTTGGTGAGGCACAGCAGCGCTGGTGCAAGGCTACGCAGGAGCTCATGTCAATGCCCGCCCCAGTTTTTCCGGTGCGCCAGCCGTGCTAGGAGCTGGAGGTGGGCTTTGCCAATTCCAAGGAGAGAGATGTGGTGTATGGTACTAGTAGTTACTAGTAACTTAGTACTGGTGAGCTCTGATTGATCGTCCATGCAAGGAACAATTGGCGCGACTTTCTGGGTCAAGTGTGTCTTTGCAGGAGAGTGCCTGTCATCATCCTCGCAGCAGATGTTTCTAGTAGCGATGTGCATGGCTTTGTGCGAGTGCAGGATTCCGTCGCTGGGTACAAGAAGGAAGTGGCAGAGTTACGCGAAGTCCAGCATGCGATGGAGAGCTCCGTGACCGGACTGCGAGTCTGAGTCTTGTACCGCCCATGACATGTTCCAGCTTCTGTTTCTGAAAGAACTTTGAAGGCGGAGTTTAGCTGTAGCTCTCTGATTCAAGGCCAAAAGAGACTCCGATCTGCAGCTGCTTGCAGAAGAGAGTCGATCCTTCAAGGCGAAGCTGACCGAAGAGATGTTGGATGTGCCGGTGTCCAAAGCCTCATTGCACTTATGGCATCGCATCCCGACACCATGTTCAGAACCGTAGAGAGCAGCAAGATGCTTAGGCAGGATTTCAGCCGTTCCCTTGGGCAACGTGTGAGCACCGTGGAGACTGCCTGCGCGGGGGCCGACCGGTCATGTGCCCAAGCGTTTGCTTGTTGACATGGCTGATATGGACGGTTGAATCGCTTTGATCTCTTGGATTCCACAGCTTGGCTCCAGGATGAGGACGTGTAGCTGTCACAAGGTGGTATGGCTGGGATTGGAGGTGTAGCAGCCTAGGAGGCCTAGCAGTTTGCTTTGGCTTTGTATCGCGATGCTCAATGAAGGTGCCGCCTGTGCGGCTTGCGGAGCTTCGAAAGCAGAGTTTGCCTGTTCAAGGTGTAAGGCGAAGTTTTGCAGCCCCGGTTGCTTCCGACAGGCCTGGAGCATGCACAAGACATTCTGCTCTATGCCCAGCCCCAGTGCAACGAATGAGAAAGCCACAGCCGACGCAGCCCCAGAGCGAGAGCACGGTGGAGTTGCCGTGGTGGTGCCCTTTCGTGACCAGCTCCCCTTGCAGGATCGCCGCAGTCAGCTGACCCGGTTCCTTGCGCACATGAGATCCTTCCTTGCCGGTGTCCCACATGTCATCATCATCGTGGAGCAGTCGCAGGATGGACAAAAGTTCAACCGCGGAAAGCTGCTAAATGTCGGGTTCAAGATTGCAGCCGAAGTGTTTCCCCGCATGGAGGCTTTCATAACGCATGATGTTGATCTCCTGCCATCTAATGACATGCTTCCCGTGTACTTGCGCCCACCTCCCGAGTCACATGCAGTTCATTTGGCATCGGTGTGGCAGACTCACGGCGTGAAGAGATAGAAAACCACATTGTGTCGTTATGGTGCAGGGCCTACACAGCAGGCACTCAGTAGGGCTCTCACAAGTCGTTTTAAGATAGAAATTTCTTGGCCTCAGGAAATACTCCTACAAGAACTTTTTGGGTGGCGTGTTGTCCTTTCAGCCCAGCGACTTCGAGCGAATAAACGGCTATCCCAACAACTACTGGGGCTGGGGCCTGGAGGATGACCAGCTTGGACTTCGCATGGCCCACAATGGAGTTCGCACCCTCCGAGTGAGGCTTGGCGAGTTCGAAGACCTAGACCCTGTTAATATGAAAGCTGTTCTGGAACGCAGAGACCGCAAGGAGGTGGGAAGTCACATGCCTTGGTACAACCCCATGATGTTCGAGCGCGGTGAACTTCTGCTAGACCAAGATTGGTCAACAAATGGGCTGCGGAATCTTCAGTTTGCCCGGATCGACTCCTGGGTGGACGGCACGGTTCATCACTGTGTTGTGGATGTTGTGCTGAGCGACGCTGAGCGGACAAAATTCACAGTGAGACAGAAGGTTGCCAGCATGGCTGTTCTAAGGGACGGCTTTCTGGGCCACTTCGCAGGCTTCATGTGCAGAGTAAGCATAGGGCGTGTGACTTAGGTCGGCAAGCAGCGCCAGAGATGCGGTGTCTGCCTTGCGCACATCAATGCAGGCTTCACTTGGCCAGGTGGAGGTGGGGTCACAGCCGTAGGAACATGCGAAAGGCCCGCTGGCCCCGAAGCCCCTGTGCCTCAAGAGGCAGTGAAAGATGAGCTGAGCCGGGAGCTGGAGACCAAAGGCGTCAGGGCATCACAGTGTGGTAAGACTGTGTGGTTTACGTGGCAGTTACCGGCATGAAGTTAAGCTTGGAATCACAAGTTTGGCAGGTCGTGTGGTGCGTGAAGCCGTGGAGACTGCGCACGTGGAGGGCCAGCATGCAGCACGCGAGGAACTTTCAACGGCTCGCCTCCACAGAGACATGTGGCTGTGTCTGCCTGCGCGTCTTGCGACACTTCCGGATTCGCTCTTCTTGGGCTTTTCAGGAGCTTTGCAAAGAGCAGCGTCACTTGAGGGCGGAGGTCATTGAGCAGCTTCAGCGGTTGACGAGTGTGGAGCGCCGTGCCAAGGAACTAAACAAGGGTTAGAGACTCAGCACGTAATGGTAGACAATAGCAGATGCACTTTCACTTGGGTGGCTGATGCAGGACATGGCACGAGGCGAAGAAGCCAGCGCACAGCGTGTGGCAGCTCTTTCAGAGCAGGAGCGGGGAGGGATGGCGGCGACTTCATACGATCCGCAAACAGACGTCATCAGGACATTGTTTGCAAATGTTTGCCGGTACAGGTCGAGCGCCTTGCGCGCGCGGCGCAGTCGTCAGGCGATGCAGGCCATCGAGAAGTTTTTGCAGAGCTGAAGATGGCGATCTCGCGCGTGGAGGAGCTTCAGAGTCAGGCAGTTGCAGCATTTGTTTTTGATCTAGGTCTGATGTGAATGTTGAAGACTGGAGGTCAATCGACTATCGCGTGATTCAAAGAAGAGCACAGAAAAGTGGGAGATGATCTTGCCCCGTCTGCAGGATTACCTACACGGTCATGATTCACCTGATTGCACCTGTGTGTTCGGCTTCAGTTTGAATGCGAAGAGGAGACGGAACGGGCCATCGATCGGCTGCGCGGCACGCCAAGCGGCACGATCTTGCGCGAGGTGCAGGAGTTGAGGCCCAGCACCCAGCCACGCCTCGGCAATGCCTCGGCAATCTCTCCACAAGACGCAGAGAATGAGAGCCCTTATCTTGAGACATCTTGAAAAACCTCCGAAGCCTTCGATTCTGTCTGCTCTGTGCCAGGTCACAGCTGGCGGAGGTACGGTTACAGGCCTCTCTCACGCCTCGAGACCGTGTTGGCAGGAACGCTGAGATGTTGTTGTACCCTTGAATCCTGTGTTGTGACGCGAGACTCGCGGGTGAGGAGTGGAGAGACGCGGCACTTGGGGTGGCTGGGAGAGCTCTAAGTATTCCAAGACGAGCGTGAGGGCATAGACCCAGGTTGCTCTAAGCCCCAAGAGTGACATGAGCTCTTTGTTTTTCAAGACTCTGTTGCTCCTTGAGAGATGCCAATGAACACCTATCTGCTTAAAATGGGCAGATCCAAAGACATGATTTTGTGTTGTGGCTACAGGCTTCGCCAGCTAGAGTACACGAGTCCGGATCCTGCTTTTCAAGAATTCGCAACCTTCGGCGATGACCTGTTTGATAACCTGTGTGCTCGGACAATCGAAGCCTGCGGGAATCACCGCCAAAGCTGTAGCCCATCACTGGTCAAAAGCATGTACATGCGGCACGTATGCATGCTCAGGCCACAGGCTTCAGGCTTTCAAACCTCCCGACAGGTGCCACTCCCAACGCTGACGCAGCCAGGCTTTGAATTGGAATGGTGATGCCAGGCGTTTGCATGCGCATCCCTGAAACAGGCGCCCCGGTCGAGGCGAAGTTGTTCATGGGAGCTGGACGCTGAGCTTTGTCGACTTGTTGGAGTCACTTGCATTTGTGTATTTGTGTGTGTGTGTGTGTGTGTGTGTGTGTGTGTGTGTGTGTGTGTCTGTCTCTGTCTGTCTGTCTGTCTGTGTGTGTGTGTGTCTCTCTGTGTGTGGTGTGCGTGTGT